CCTGGCCCTGGAACCAGCGGGCGGTTGGCAGCCGAGGCTGCTCTCACGTGTTGCGTTCCCATTAGCGTGGGAGCAGGCGATTCCCTTCTCTCCCCATTTCGCAAGCTCTGGGGTTTATCCCTACGGACGCAATGCCAACCAAGCCGTGAATCCACAATGAACCAGCCCCGCCAGGAGACGCGATGGAGCTGCCCACCACAGGGTGGGGGGGAAGCCGATATTTCTGCAGCGACGCCTCCAAAAAATAAACAAAAGAAAGAGCAAAGCAAGGAGAAAACACCACCACCTGGGTAAAATAAACCCAGCACCGAGATGCCGATGGTGCTATCCCAAAACCAGTTTGCTTACTGGTTTACTTCGCCCTTCCAGCAACCTGATGGCTTCTGCATTCAGAGAGGGGAGCGGGAGGACGAGACAGAGCCGGGCCCTGCGGCTTGGGCCCGATTTTATCCCGCTTGCAGGGCAGGAGAAGGTCACTTCCCATTTTGACAGTTGACATAAGCTCCCATCAGCCCAGTTTGTCCCAGGGCTGTTATTTTTCCGGCTGCGAGCATGCCTGCCGCCGAGGAGAATTACCAGCTCTCCAAAACAACCTGCTGCTACCTTTGAGTCTTACTAAATTAGCAAATAAAAAAAAAAAAAAAAAAAAGAGGTGGGGCATAATTCTTCATAGCAAAACCACTATCAGGGATAGGAGCGTCCAGTCGCCAAATGCATCCCGTGGGATGGGGGAAAAACTAGTGGGAAGGAGCTGCCCTGCCAGGCGGATGCCCCCAGAGCAGCCCCAAAAAAGGGGCTGTGGAATAATCCGAGAAGGGCGTGGGGATGGGATGTAATCCCAGAAGGATGCAGGGACGCGAGATCTCATCCTCAGAAATAGGGATCGAAAGCCCGCGGGAGCGGCTGGGTCCCCACAAACAGCTCCGAGGCATCACGAGCCACGGTTCAACCCCGTCTCCCTCCCAACCCTGGCGGGGAGGAAAAAAATAACCAGAGCTGGATCTAAATAAAGGCAGAAGAGCAGGGCCAGCTGCTAAGCCCAGCCCGACCCCGCGCCCAGCAAGCTGGCAACTCTTTGCCTTTATTTGGTTTATTTTTAGCCGCTGCAACGGAGCGACAGGTCCCAGCTGGCGGGGACGGCTGCCAGCCCCCAGTGAAAGCATCCTCTGCCCCATCGAACCCCTTTTTGCTTCAATATGGGGGGTTGCAAAAAAATAAAAAAATAAAAAAAATCCATAATATCACGGCAGGGATGCAGCCAGGTTTTACCCTGGGAATCCCTCCTGCTCCTCTCCACAGCCCCGCCACATTAATCCCTCCTTATAAATAACCCCGGCGCTATTTATAAGGGATGGGGGGCGGGGGGGAATAGAAATAAGAATGAGCCTGGTTTGTCTCCCAGGAGTTCCCTCTGACTCCTTCGGAATTCCTCCAGCCGCCGTTCCCAAGTCCCAGCTGCAGCCTCAAGGCTTCTTTCACCACCTGGAGGGTTCTCCACCATCACCCTGGCCAAAAACCAGAATTCATTCCCATTATTTCCAGTGCCAGGCAGAGTGGCGTGGTCCCTAGAGCCACGCAGGGATGTTTCCTCCCTCAAATCCCACTCCATTAAAAATAATAATTTAAAGAAATCCCAGTAAATCTTTGCTGCACAGAAAGGTTTGGGGCTTTCCCCAGCCCTAACAGGGCAGGTGCAGCGCGTTATCCATGTTTTAAGGGTGGAGTGGTCTCTTTGCCAGTTTTCTAAGGAATTCATTGCAGAGATTTGAAGGCGGCGGTGTGGGAATGAGGGCTCCGGTGAAGGAAAATTATCCCAGGTCTTCAAAATTCCCCCCAAACTGGGTGTTCCGATGACATTGTGGGCAGAAGCAGCGATGAGGGGTGGCGAGCGTGGGAGTGCAACGATAGCAAAAATATGGGGGTTCCCCCCTAAAAAAGCCAAAATATGGATTTTAAAAAAAAAAAAAAAAAAAACCAAACCACAACGTAAAACAGGGTTTTCCCAGGAAAAAAAAATCCATGAAAATTCAAGATTCAAGGCGATTTTGTGATATTTCCCTTATATAAACTCTTGCCAAAAGGCAGCAGCTCATCCTGAACTCGGTGTTTCCCTCTTTCACCTCAAACCAGCTCTTCTGGGCAAACATCCCAACAAATATTCCAGTTAAAAACGCAAGAGCTGGAAAATTGCCG